GATCATACAAATGGGAAAAAGACCCACGTGTACAAAAATATTTATTGCAGCTCCTTTTGTGGTGGCAAAGAATTGAAAATTGAGAGGATGCCCATCAATTAGGGAATGTCTGAACAAGTAGCTGTATGTGAATGTAATGGAATGCTATTGTGCTATAAGAAATGAGGAGCAGGCAGACTTAAGCAAAACCTGGAAAGACTTGTATGGTCTGATGCTGAGTGAAGTGAGCAGAACCAGGAGAATGTTGTACACAGTAACAGCCAAGGTGTGCAATGAGTAATATTGATAGACTTAACCCTTCTCAGCAATACAAAGATCTAAGACATCTCTAAAGACCTCATGATGGAAAATGCTTTCTACATCCAAAGAAAGAACTATGGAGTTTGAATGCAAATCAAAGCATGCTGTTTGCTATTGTTTTTCTTCTTTTGGGTATTATTTCCTCTTTCTGGTGGTTCCTCCTACTGGTTCTAACTCTTACTTAAAACATCATTAATGTGAAAATATGTTTCATAGGGATGTATATGTACGTCTTATATCAGAATGCACACCATATTGGAGAGGAAAGTGGGAGGAGGGAGGTTATGGAAGTGATTGTTGACAATTCAAATTAAATTAATAAAAAATAAAAAAAGAAAAGTTATCCCTTTCACTCATATGTGATACTTCTGCTATATTGTCTTTTTCTATTCAACTAAACCCTGCAGGTGTGTGTGTATGTATGTGTGTGTGTGTGTATTTTCAAAGGATCATGGGATTTAGAGCAGGAAGGAGTTAGGTCTTCTGTTCCTGTCATCATAGACTCTTCAAAACTTGAAATGACCTTAGGGGACATCGAGTCCAATCTATTAAGGGTTCCTTCCAGTTTATCATTTTTATAAATCAATAATAGGAGATGTAAACGGTGAAACTAATGGCTGAAGTTCATACAATCAATCAGTCAATTAAAATCAGTTGATTAATGTTAAGCACTTAATGTTTTCTAGGCATTGTGTTGGGTTCTGAGGATACAAAAAGAAGCAAAAGTCTCTCCCTGCCTTCAAAGAATCTACAATTTACTAGGAGAGACACCATACAAAGATATACAAAGAAAGTTACATACAGGATTGATAGGGACATATTAATAAAGGGAAGGCACTTAATTAAGAGAGCCAAAATTCCAAGGTAGGCCCTCTGGCTCAAAATGTAATTTCCTCAAGAGCAAAGATCATTTCATTTTTGCTTATGTACCCCTTGTTATTGTTGAGTCATTTTCAGTCGTGACTGATTCTTTATGACACCATTTGGGGTTTTCTTGGCAAATATACTGGAAGGATTTACTATTTCCTTCTCCATCCCATTTTGGAGGTGAGGAAATTGAGGCGAATTAGGTCTAGTGACTTGCTCAGGGTCATGCAGCTAGTAAATTCCTGAGGCCAGATTTGAACTCACAAAGATGAATCTCTCTGATTCATGGAAAAGCACTTTATCTATTGTGCAACCTACCTATCCCTAGGACCTGGCATACAGTATGTCCATGATAAATGCTTGCCAATTGATTGATTGATTTCCCAGAGCAGGACGCTCTAGATACCAGTGTAAGAATCGCAAAGATGTGTCAGGGTCAAGAATCACAAAACATTCCCTAGGATCTCAGGATCATTTGCTGTTGTGGGATAGAGACCTTGAGATATCATGAATCCCCTGCTATGAGACTATCATAAGAACAGGGACCAGAGTAAGTTTGGGGAGGTGACATCCTGGATTGTGGACAGCAATAGATGGGAAGCACAACATCTGGCAGCCTCCTAGTTCAACTAATTATTCTCATTAATCATTAAATTCGGTTGTTCCTGCTCATTGAAGAAGTGCAAATATTAAGAATGCTATCTAAATATCACTACATAGGGTCAAGGTCCAAGTTGTCCTGCCTTTGGTATGGCACTGGCTATCTCTATTATGATAAAATCACTTAACCTCTCTTAGACTCAGTTTCCTCACCTGTAAAATAAAGGATTTATACTAGATGGCCCTAATGTCACTGGACTTGGAGTCAAGAAGACCAGAGTACAAATATCATCCAATACATTTATTAGCTGTGTGAACTTGGACAAGTTAATTGACTTCTCAAGGCCTCAGATTTCTTATCTACAAAAATGAGTGACCTCATAGTTTCCTCCTTGCTCTTAATCTAGATCCTATCATCTAATAATATGCTACCTCTCCCCTGGATTCATTTACGTCTTTGCACTTTCCCATCTGGATCAGGATAAAGATAAAGTTAGAAAATCTGATTCTTTACGTAACTGAATTATAGTTACATTGTACCCTTTCAAGCTCTTCAAAGGGAATTACATCTCCAATAAGATTAAAAACCTTGAAAGTCTAGGAACAACTTGGTTAGAAAGGTGAGAATTTAGTGGCTTGTGGGTTATGTTATTTATAATATTATTTATTTCACAATTGACCTAAGGGGTAGGAAGTCCTAACAGTATCCCAAGATTCTAAAGAAAATTAACCATCCCAAACCTCTGAGACTCTCCTAGATACTTCTTTACTTTCTTTGGCAAATTAATTGTCTCTGGCTTCCAAGGAATTATCGCTTGAGTGATTCACATGCTGAGGTGCAATGTTACACTGGGGCCATGGCGGACATTCCAAAAGACTTAAAACTTTAAAAATGAATTTCTGTTTGTTTTCATGATATTAATATGGCACCATTGAAATACTATCCATCTTCATTATTCACTCCTGCCACATGACTAGCCTGTCTTCTGTTTTACTCATACATGTCTTTAATGCAATCTTTTACACCAACTTTCATAGACATAATTAATGGAGCCATCTATTTGTCATCTAATTGTGTCCTGTTACAATGCATCATAAAATATTGAGAGTGACCATATATTAAAAAAAATGAAATAAACAGAGTCCTTAAGACATATTCATTGCCTTCATTGCTCCAATTAAAAAAAAAATTAATCCAGTAAGAAACAAACAAAATAAAGCCATTCCAATCTTATCTCTCTCTTTTTTGGGGGAGTAGAGTGGGTGAATTATTACCATGTAGCCTTTGAGAAGGAAAGCAAAAGGAAAAGGAAGGAAGGAAGAAGAGAAGAAAGGGAAAAAAACAGAAAGAAGGAAAAAAGGAAGGAAAAGTGGAAGAAAGAAAGACAGAGAGGGAAAGAAGAAGAAAAAAGAGAATCAGTTCATGTAGAATCATTTACAGTAGACAATAGGAGTCCTAAATTTTCCATAACACTCATCTGTAGGAATGGAGCCACCAATTCATACAGAGTTTGTGTGCTCAGAGGTGGTAATGATTCTTATTTTCATTGTGTTAAGAACTAGGGCTGTAACCTGTATTTGCATCTTGTCAGCAATGCCTGCCTAGGTGGTGAAACTACCAGATAATACTATACTGGCATGCATATCCTGAAGGTTTTCAGTCAATATCATACTTTCTTTTTGAGTGAAGGTAATTTCATGTACGTCACAACATTCCTTCCATGTATAAGAAAGATGGTTGGAAGAGTGTTTAAGGGCATCTGAAACACATATTAGTAATGGTGATGGCCTGACCATCTGGGATTTCGTTGCTCCTTTCCATACAACAGCTGGATGCAGTAGTGTCTGTTTCCTGCTTGAAATATGGGATAACCTAACAAAGCTTCTCCTTGATGTCATAATTTCCCTCTTAACTCTGATACTAAAGTTGTAGCCTTTTTGAATCAGAATCTTCAAAAGTTAGTCTGTCTGTCTGGTCACAGTCAGCCAGATTCATATGGAGGATGATATAGGGAAGGGTACAACCATCACAGATGAGCACAGTGTAGGTCACATCACTACCATGGTCTGTCATAATAATAGTGGTACTACCAGGGGTATACAAGGACAGCACATCCTGGATGGACACTTACATGGCTAGGGTACTGAAGGTCTCAAACATAATCTGTATTGTTTTCTCTGTTGGCCCTGGGACTCAGAGGGCTTCTATTTATTGCACTTCCTATCATCCAAGTGAGTGACAGTGCTGTGTTCAAAGGGGGTACTTCAGAGTCAGCATATGCTGTTTTTGTTTGTTTTGCTGTAGGCCTCATTCTCCACATAGTGACCCTTGTCTACATTCACACTCTGTCATCTACAGAACCCAGAAATGGAGGACAAGAAAGCGCAATAGGAATTATCTCCTACAATGCATTTTACACATGAGTCTTTGTCAACTATGAGGGCAGTAGTATCATCATCAATAATGAACATTGAAGTGGCAAGCTTAAACCCTTATGGCAGAGAGGATGTGGTATACCACCTGCAGGGGAAGGAGGCATCTAATGCATGCCAAATGGAGGAGATCAAAGCTATGTATTACCTCCATTTTAAAGAAGAGAAAAGGAAGATTCACAAAAGTCCTAAAGCTAGTAAATAGTTGTCCATTCATTTCAATAGTAGTCAACTCTTTGTGACTCCATTTGGGTTTTTCTTGGAAAAGATACCAGAGCTCTAGCTCATTTTACAGATAGGGAAACAGAGGCAAAAAGGGTTAAGTGACTTTTCCAGTGTCACATTGCCAGTAAATGTTTGAAGCCATATTTGAGCTCAGGTCTTCCTGACTCCAGGCCCACTGCTCTATCCACAATACCACCTAGCTGCCCCCAAAATAGGAGTCAAACTAAAATCCAGCCGCCAATCAACCTTTGATTATAATGTGTTACACTCTTTCTGGGTCTGGTTAATCTATGTGATCATGACTTAGGGTTGTGCTCAACTATATTGCCATTTTCAGGCAAGATCACTGATATTGAAAGAGATTAAATGACTTGCTTTAGGCCACACCATCGTGGCCGCAGAGCTAGGATCAGTAAGGAAAAAGCTCATCGTGAGCCCTTTCATTTAATACTTCAGTAGCTGGCAGGCCGTACCTCTCTGCTTCTCCCAAGCTCTCGCACCCCTCTTGTCTTCTCCCATGTACAAGATGTGCACTACAGCAATAACCTGATCATTGCACTGTTTTCTCCCTGAAGGCAACAGATCGAGAACATGATCCGATAACGTATGCTATTGAGAATGGAGATCCTCAAAGAGTTTTCAACCTTTCAGAAACGTAAGTGAATCTGCTCATTGAATTGGATTTTGGGTTTTCGGTTTTTAACATTTAATAGGTAGAAAATAAGTGAGCTAGAGAAGAGGCTTCTAATCAGACACTGTCAGCTATTTGTAGCTTTTCCCCCTCACCTGGTAATGAGAGCTTGGAGAAAGGTATTGAGCTCAGCAATCCTACACTGGGGACCATTTATTTATTTTAAACATTTTATTAGGTAAAACTCACTGAGGTGGAAACGTTCCATTTGCAGCCATGACCTGGGATTAATTACATCCCTTTAAAGTTGTCAGCTATTCATAACAACAAGGGCATTTCAGCTGTGAACAGCCTGGCCTTAAAAATGTTTCATTAAAAAGTGAGTTCTGTTAACCAAAATTTATTATCCATATATTTAAGATTTCACTATTCACAAGTTGATTTTCTATTAACCTGATTTCATTAGCCTTGGTAGCTTTTTAGCTATGTGATTGAAGGTGGGAAAACAGTTATATGAGAAGCAGAAGGGCTGAGTGAATGGAGGGTCACTTTGGAGTAAGGGAGACCTGGGTTCTGATATACTGATTGTTTCACTGTGGGTGAGTCATTTACATTCTCAATGGGCCTAGCAACTTTTTAACATACTAAATGACAGAATTGCTGCTGAACTATATAGTTTCCTCACTGGGAATCTTGCACCATGATGAAATCATTCACATATGCCTTTTATATGTTGAGATATATGTTTGTTCATGTATACACACATATACACATGTACATATGTTCACGTATACACACATAAATTTGAGCTTCTCTGTACAAGTACATATCTGTAATGTATTGTTCATTTTTGTATGTGCATATAACTAGAGATTACATAGTCTAACACTTTAATTTTACATATAAGAAAACTGAGACCAAAAGTAGTGAAGTGATTTGAGAAGCAAATAACAGAACTTATATTCAAACCAATTCCTCTGACACTAGTTTTCATGTCTCTGTGTATGATCAGTCTAAACAAACTGTAAATGTGTCATATTGTCATCATCACCACCACAGGGCACGTAGGGGTACAGTAGAGTGCTAGGTGGAGGAATAGAAAGACCTGAGTTCAAATCTGTCCTCAAGCATTTTCTAGCTGTATGACCCTGGGTAAGTAACTTAACTTCTCTCTGTCTCAGTTTCTTCAACTGTAAAATAGAGATAATATTATATATAATAATAACGTAATAAAGCAGCTCTGTGGCACAGTGCAAAGAGTATTGAGCCTGAAGTTGGGAAGACTCATCTTCATGAGTTCAAATATGGCCTCAGACACTTACTACCTGCATGACCCTGGACAAGTTACTTAATTTCTGTCTCCCTTAGTTTCTTCAACTGTAAATTGTAAACAATACTATAATATAGTAATAATAAAATGGGGCATCTAAGTGTCCACAGTGCAAATATTACTGGGCCTGAAGTCAGGAAGACTCAGCTTCAATGAGTTCAAAACTGGCCTCAGACACTTATTAGCTGTGTGACCCTTTGCAAATTACTTAACCATGTTTGCCTCAGTTTTCTCCTCTGTAAAATGACCTGGAGAAGGAAATGGTAAACCACTCCACTATCTTTGCCAAGAAAAACCCAAATGGGGTCACAAAGAGCTGGCCATACCTGAAATGACTGAACAAATAACACATTCTAGGGTTGTTGTGAGGGTCAAAAGAGATAATATTTGTAAACTACTTAGCACAGACACGATACACGGTAGGAGCTTAATAAATGCTTCTTATTTTTTCCTTCTGACTCACCCCACCACAGGCATCCTTATGGCACTGAAAAATGTTACAAAGAAATTTGTGTATATGATTTTATTTGAGTCACAAGCCATCCTATAAAGTAGGTTCAACAGGTATTGCCATTTTATGGATGAAGAAACTGAAGATCGTAGAGGTGAAATGTCCATGGGCACACATATAATAAATATTTAAGGTGAGATCTGAATCAAAGATTTTTGGACTGCAAGTACAGTATTCTATCTGCTATTCCACATTGTATCAAAAGTCCACATTCTGTACATCTGTATGCCATCTAACTGAAGGCCACTGAGGCTCCTTGAGGATCTGGGCCATTGGGCTATTTCTCTAAACTACGTATAAGATATAAGATTCCTAAACTTTTTGGGGATCCTTCTCCAGAGATCTCTGTTGTTGGGTCTACAGAGTTGAATACCAGATTGCCCCTAAACAGTTGCTTTTCCACAACAGTTTGGCAATGGTATTTATTAACTGGTAATATATAAATTAATATTCTACATGGAATTAAATAATCAGGGAGAAATTGGTAGTCATACAACCAAGACTGTAAGTCTCATGATTAAGAAACAGTCTACTAAATATCACAACCATCTGTCATAAAGGCATCTAATCATAGAACTCTATACTAAAACTCCAAATCTTCTCAGCAATTAGATCTCTCCCATTCTTTGACTGGGCTTCGGTAATATATAGGTTGTATCAAAGAGCAGTTTCCTGATAAACATGGTGGCCAAATATGGAAATGATTTATTGAATAAGACTGAAGGAATATTTTGTCTGGTGGCATCTAAAATGAGCATGGATACCTATCCATCTCTATAGATTTGGGTGAAGTGCTGCCTGAGGACAGAGTGATAAACTTGGTGACTTCCCAAAGTCCTTTTTATGCTTAGATAGAAATGTTTTCTCACCGTTTATCTTTACTGGCAGCTTTGTTTCCTTCTACTGATGGCTAATTCATTTTAAGTAGTTTATTTTGTAAGTTCATAAGCACTTCATTCTATCTTCTTTCCTTAAAATATGAAGGCTTCAGAAGGTGATAAATATTCTTTCCTGAAAGTGTATTAGTTTTCTACTTTCTTGATTTATATGATCTTAAAAGAGGCAATCCAGGTGAAGTCCTAAATGACCTTTAGCAAGATGAAAACAATGAGTTGACAGGTCTTCTGGTACCTGCAGAACAAAAAATACTCAACAGAGAAGTGTGTGTGTGTGTGTGTGTGTGTGTGTGTGTGTGTGTGCCACTGTGATCCAGACATGATAAGCTGGAAAGCTTTCAAGGCCAATTGATAGGAAAGTATCTTTGTCACTTGACAGTTTATTCTCATGGGTTCCATCACCAAGTTGGCAACACAATAATGAGTTTGCCAATCATGAAAATCACAATAACCATCTGCTAAGATTTTTCACCATCAAAAGTCACAAGCACTCTAGGTCATAGAGTGTCATAGAGGTCATAGGTCTGTGAGTGCCAACTCTCATCAGTGAAATCACAGAACTTGAGAATATTGAATATATATCAACTTAATTTTTTCTTTGATTTTTTTAAACATGAATATCACACACACTTCCATTGCTTAGTCTCCAACTTTCCTGCCACTTAGGGAAGTTAAGTGAATTTCCCACAATTATACCCTTACAGGACTAATACTTAAATATATATTGATAGACAGTTTCAACCCTCACCTCCCCACCTCACCCTTTTGTGCCACTTGGTTAATATTAATGAAGAAGTAGAAATGGGCTATATGAAACTAGAATGACATTGCATAGAAAGAAAGATCTGGATAGAATTAGGAAATATGGCCACTCCCTAGAGGGCTCTCTAAATTATCAGTGAGGGTAATTTTATTTTACTTTATTTTATTTGAACAGAGAAGAGTCCAGATTTCTATTTTTATTTTTTTAATATAAATTTATTTATTTTTAGTTTCAACATTCCCTTCCACAAGTTTTTGAGTTCCAAATTTTCACCCCATCTCCCCCCTCCCCCCACCCCAAGATGTCATGCATTCTGAATATCCCTTCCCCTACTCTGTCCTCTCTTCTACCTCTCTCCCCTTCTCTTATCCCCTTCCCCTTCTATTTTCCTGTAGGGCAGGATAGACTTCGGTACCCCATTTCCTATATTTATTTCCCAGTAGCATGTGAAAACATTTTTTAAACATATGTTTTTAAAACTTTAGGTTTCAAATTTTCTCTCTTCCTCCCTCCCCATCCACCCTCATTGAAAAGGCAAGCAACTCAATATAAGTTGTACATGTGCAGTTATATAAAACACGTCCATAGTAGACATGTTGTGAAAAACTAACTTTATTTCCCTTCATCCTATCCTGCCCTCCCATTTATTCTATTCTTTCTTTTGACCCTGTCTCCAATGAGGGTAATTTTAAAGGTTAGAAAAAAGTTTAGTTTTCCAGTAAAATTCCTGCAGTGAATTGTCCTTCAGGCAGTGGGAGGAAGGAAGGAAAGTCCTCTTCTTCAGCTCTGGCCATAGCTTCTCTCCCCCACACTCCCCATGCCACCTTCGGCTGGAGGATGAACTTGGGAATTTGGAAACATTTCAAGGACTTTACACTTCACATCTTTCCATATATGCCATTGCGCTATCTGCAGATCAGTGTCTATCCTGGAAACCAAGAAAAGAGTGGCCAACTATTCATAACCTTAACAAGACACCAGCAAGGAAGTGACACTGTGCCTAAGGGAAACACCTGGTTTATGCCACAAATGGGATGATTTGAGGTTCCTGGTACTGTGTTGGTACCCTTTCACCATATGTGTCATCTAATCTTGAGCCCACTCTTCCTAGATTCTGTATATACTGATAGGAGGTAAGTCAGACTTTTGAGGAGATATTTTATACCCACTGTTCTTATAATATTATTTTAGTAAATATCCTGTTAGCAATGGGCTTGATGCTGACACAGATGACATTGGGACAGAATGAGAACTCATAAATGGAGGTTTACTTAGGCATAACATGGCAAGGATATTCATACAATGTTAAAGTAGAATTTAGTTTCAGTAAACACAAACTTCCCTCTACATAAATCCTTTAGGATTCAGTTAAAAGGCCACACTTTAGGATCTAAAAGGCCACATGTGGTCTCAAGGCCACAGGTTTACAGAAGGAAATCCTTTTGAATTTGCTCTGTAAAATTTGGATTCATTCAAAAGGTTACACTTAAGGATCTAGAAGGTCACATGTGACCTCTCGGCTGT